GAATGCTTCTTCATGTTCGTTCTTTCAGATTGTATGTGTACATATACAAAAGACAAGTTATGTATTAATGAAATAAATCTGCATATATCATTATCTACTACTCTATAAGACTTTTAGCTTTTTAAAAAGGTGAAGGGAAAAGATCACTAATAAGTCATTTAAAATATTAAATAATAAAATTCCAGTATTTAAATCAGCTTTTATAATCAAAATTATATAAATAAAAGTTATTTCTAATGATGGACTTGTAGCTATGCATCATTACTTTGCAGTTACTGGCTGATCTTGAAAACAGTGCCATGTTTGCTGACGATCTTGAATGTCAAAAACTTCTGATGGAAGCTATGAAATATCACCTCTTACCTGAAAGAAGACCCATGATGCAAAGCCCTCGGACCAAGCCTAGAAAATCAACTGTGGGGTCATTGTATGCTGTGGGAGGAATGGATGCTATGAAAGGTAACAGGAACAAATTACCTAATACTACTTTACTTCATTTAAAAAAAAAAAAGGTATATTAGCAATATTCTCTGAAATATGAGATTAGTATTAAAAACATTTTTAAATATGTTAATCTACAACTGATATTCACAAATGGGGTAGTCTGTGTGATTTTGTTATCTCATTTTTCTTCATATATTTTAGAACCAAACCCTTTCATTAATGTTACCTAAACTCTTAACAGCATTTTATTTTATGGAAACAATTTTTTAAATTTAGTTATGAGTTTTACAATATTAAATATTTTCAGCAAATTTTACTGAAGTTTTATTACAAATAGAAGGAACAAATTTCTCCAATTTTTTTCACTGAAACAGAAAAATATCCTTCAGCTCCTTGCTGTCAGTTTCCTTAGAAGCTCAAAGACCAATTAAAAACAATCTTGAAATGTTTATTACAGGATCAGCAATTCAAACTTGGAACAAAAGGATGACTTTAAATAATGCTTGAATAATTTATTTTAGAAAGATCAGTATAAGGCTGGTCCCTATGAGATGGAAGTTAAAGATGACCCAAATGTCCATTATCAAACTGTCATGCCACTCCATTATCTCTGACATCAACTCTTCCTCCTCCCCTCAATAATCTCCCTCCCATCTAGGATTTCTGTAGTTAGCTCTAAAGTTTCACAGAACTCACAAACTCCCAAGGAAACAGCTCATGTAGTTTTGGTGGAGGTTGGGAGGCTGGCAGGCTGGCAAGCTGGCAAGTCCCAGGTCTGTGGATAGACCTGGAGGACCTACTCACGTGGTTACAGGGGTTGTTGAACCCAAATTGGCAGGTCAGATGATGGCTGCTGTCTTAAGTGCAGGGGTGAGATGATAAGGAACCAAATGCAGAACCGGAGAGAGAGCAAATTTTCCCAGAACATTCCTATATTATATATCCTCATGGAAGCTAAGGGAGGTGACTTGAGTCACATCCTCCAGCAAGGTGGGACTCAAGATACATCCCACTCCAAACAGGCATAGAGAATAGGATTTACAGTACATCACAAAATGGGTGGTGACTTGAGTAACACCCTTTAGTAAGGCAGGTCTCAAGATCCATCTCACCCTAAATGGTCATGTTGTTGTGTTGTTAGGTGCCATTGAGTCACCTCTGACTCATAGCAACACTATGTACAACAGAACAAAGCATTGTCCAGTCCTGTGTGAGCCTCACAATCCTTGCTACACCTGACCACATCATTGAAGCCACTGTGAAATCCATCTCATTGAGGGCCTTCCACTTCTTTGTTTATCCTCCACATTACCAAGCATGATATACTTCCTCAGGGAATGGTCCCATCTGACAACATGACCAAAGTGGGTGAGATGAAGTCTGGCCATTCTCGCTTCCAAGGAGCATTTTGGCTGCACTTCTTCTAGGACAGATTTGTTAGTTCTTTTAGCAGTCCATGATACTTTCAATATTCTTTGCCAAAACCACAACTCAAAACCATCAACTTTCCTTTGGTCTTCGTTATTTATTGTCCAGTTTTCACATACATATGAGACAATTGAAAATATCATGCCCTGGGTTGGGCACACCTTAGTCTTCAAAGAGACATCTTTGCTCTTTAGAACTTTAAAGAGGTCTTTTTGCAGCAGATTTACCCAGTGCAATATGTCATCTGATGTCTTGACTGCTGTTTCCATAAGTGTTGATTGTGGAACAAGTAATATAAAATCTTTGACAACTTCAATCTTTTCTCCATTTATCATGTTGTTGCTTATTGGTCCAAGTGTGAGGATTTTTATTTTCTTCAGTTCAGGTGTAATACATACTGCAGACTGTAGTCTTTAATCTTCATCAGTAAGTGCTTCAAGTCATCCTCACTTTCAAGTAGCAAAGTTGTGTCATCTTCATATTGCAGTTTGTCGTCTTCATATCCAATCCTGATGCCATGCTCTTCTTCATATGGTCCAACTTCTCGGATTATTTGCTCAGCATACAGATTGAGTAAGTATGGTGAAAGGATACAACCCTGACACACTCCCTTCCTGATTTTAAACCATGCAATATCCCCTTGTTCGGTTCAAATGACAGCCTCCTGGTCTATGTATAGGTTCCTCATGAACACAATTAAGTGTTCTTGAATGCCCATCTTCTCAATGTCAT